TTTTTTTTTAAAAGGAGTCTCACTCTGTCACCCAGGCTAGAGCGCAATGGTGGAATCCCGGCTCACTGCAACCTCCACCTCCAGGGTTCAAGTGATCATCCTGCCTCAGCCTCCTGAGTATCTGGGACTACAGGGCGTGCCACCACGCCCAGATAATTTTTGGATTTTTAATAGAGATGGGGGTTTCGCCACGTTAACCAGGCTGGTCTCAAACGCCTGACTTCAGGTGATCCGCCCACCTCAGCCTCCCAAAGTGCTGGGATTATAGGTGTGAGCCACCTCACTCAGCCTATTTTATGAAATCAATTTTTGTTTACCTTTACCTAATTTTAAACTACTTTATGTACTTTTTATTACTTCTTGCATTTTATGCCTCCTAAGATAAATTTATGTCTGTCTGAAAATTAAATTTTCCTTTAGTAACGGGTCTGTGGTAATAAACTGTCTTACTAATTTTTGGTTGTCTGAAAATGTGAGTATTTTCCCCTTCTTCTGGAAAACTGTTTACATGGGGTCTAATATTCTTGTTTAGCTATTAACTTTTCTTTCTGTGCACTGATAATATTATCCTAGTGTTTTCTGGCTTCTATTGTAACAGTTAGAAGCCAGCAGTCATTCTGAGGACCAAACTCCTAGAAAGGCAGTTTTAAAATCATTTATTCTGATGTGCCTGAGTTTTCTGTTTTTATCTGCTTGGAATTTGTTGGGCTTCTTGAATATGTGGATTTATTTCTTTTTCTTATTTTTTTTTTCTTTCTTTTTTTTAAGAGAGAGTCTTGCTCTGTCGCCAAGGCTGGAGTGCAGTAACATCATGGAGGATCGCCGCAACCTCCGCCTCCTGGGTTCAGGCGATTCTCCCGCCTCAGCCTGCTGAGGGCAGCTGGGACTGCAGGCACGCGCCACCATGCCTGGCTAATGTTTGTATTTTTAGTAGAGACAGGGTTTCACCATGCTGGCTGGGCTGATCTTGAACTCCTGACCTCGTGATCTGCATGCCTCAGCCTCCCAAAATGCTGGGATTACAGGCATGAGCCACCGCACCCAACCTATTTCTTTTACCAGTACTATCAAAGACTCAACTGTGACCGCTTCCGATATTGCCCGTTTCTGTCTGATCTTTCGGGAACACTAATTGAACATATATTAGACATTTATTTATTTATTTACTCTGTTCTACATCTCTCTTAACCTCTCTTTCTGATTTTTAATTTTTGGTATCTCTGGGTTGCTTTCTAGATAGTTTCTTCAACCTGTTTTATGGTTCACTAATTCTTTGGCTGTGGCTAATTTGTTATTAAACCTGGTTTTTAACTTTGGTTATTATATTTTTTCACTTCCAGAAATTCCATTGGGTTGCTTTTCAAATACACTAGTCTATTTTACACAGTTCCTGGCTTTCCCTAGAAAATTTCATCTTGCTTTTTATGCCTTTAATCAGAGTGTGCAGAGTTTTAATATCTTTGTCTGGTAATTTGAATATCTGAGGTCTTTCTAGGTCCGTTTGGCTGTCTTCTCCTTCCTGCCTACCCCCTCCTCCTCCTCCTCCTTTTTTCTTTTTATCTTATTTTCCATGTCATGTTTGCTTTTGACTGTCCTTGAAAAATTGCTTGTAGGGGTCCTGTGAGCCCTACATGAAGCTGTCCCTCCAAAGAGGCTCGCATTTGCTTCTTCCAGGCACCCAGGGGACGTGGAAAGCAGGGACCACTTTACCTTCAATTACAGGCTTGAAGTGTTCCAGGTCATGCGTGTGATCCAGGTCACCCGCGTGATGCAGCTTTGGACATGGCTGGCTCCTGCTTCCATCTGCTCTGAAAAGGGTTTCCTCCTGCTCCCGCCCCTGCCCCGCCTTTCTTGCCATCCCCTGATTGTGTGGGGTTACCCTCAGGGTGTAGCCTCGGGGGCCTGAGTTTTACGGAGAGAGGGCTTCCTCCCACACTCCCCACTTGCTTGGTTTTTCACTCTTGTGCCTCTTGCCCTGAAAGACCATTAAAAACTACACTCATGCACTAGCGTGGGCATTAAAAAAAAACAGAACTCTGCTCGCGTAAACCCGGGCAGGTGGTGCCCGGCAGCGAAAGGAGCTGCTGACTTCAGCCAACCCGTCTGGGTTCCCACTTTGATGTAAATTTTTGGCCTAGTGAGTCCCTGCTGTCTTATCATTTCTCTGATGACTGTGAAGAGATTTAAAAAATCTTAGTAGCATTTTCTTTTCCTTCTTTTTTTTGAGACAGAGTCTCACAGTGTTGTTCCCCAGGCTGGAGTTTGGTGGCACTATCTTGGCTCACTGCAACCTCTGTCTCTGGGGCTTGAGTGATTCTCCTGCCTCAGCCTCCTGACCAGCTGGGATTACAGGTGCCCACCACCGTGCCCGGCTAATTTTTGTATTTTTAATAGAGTCAGGGTTTTGCCATGTTGGCCAGGCTGGTCCTGAACTCCCGACCTCAGGTGATCCACCTGCCTTGGCTTCCCAAAGTGCTGGGATTAGAGGCGTGAGCTACTGCACCCGGCCTGTAGCAGCATTTTCATCATTCTCTGAAAGGGTTCATTAGAATAATCTAATAAAAGTATAAGACAAATGTTTCTTTTTATAACTACCCCAGCTGACTGTTGATATTCACGTTGTGACTGTGGGCCTTTGCTGGAGTCTAGGCATCTTCAGTTATCAAGCAAACCACCCCTCCCAAGCTAACGTTAACACCTGTGGTGCGTGGGCCACATTTCACAAAACGCTCCCTATATAACCCAGAATATTGGAATTTTAGAGGGCGGTCTTAGAGAGAGGTGAGGAGGAAGTGAGGTGAGAGGGAGCAGGAAGGGAGATGGAAGGAAAAGCCAGGGGGATGTGTGCAGAGTGGCGAATATTTTGAACAAAGGAAAGTAATGCCTACGGTTATTTCCCCACACAATTATTTCCAGTTATGGACATTTATTTTCGTTTATCACCTACATGCAAATATTATGACAGGTATTTAATGAACACTCTCTTGTCTCGCTTTTTAAACTCAGTATCTGTCGTGGTCACATGGTTGATCCCCAACATTCATTCCACGTGGATGAGTCAGCTGAGCTGAGCAGGGTTAGTCTACCTCTCTCGTGAATGATGCTTTAGATGGTTTAGAAGGAAAGTCTGATCCAAGGATTCTGGGAAAAAGTGACTGTTCATCCCTCCTTTTGATCCCTGTCAGTCATTACTAGGTGTGATGCATGGAGCTGCTGCAGCCACCTTCGCACCATGAGGCGAGCCTTAGGCTGAAGATGGGGATAAGAGGGAAAGGAGCCTGTGTCTTTGGTGATGATGCTGTGGAGATGTTTAATTGACCAGTATTGGTGTCTGCCCTATCTCTGGACTTCTCACTATGTGAGGTGATATATTTACTTATTTATTTTATTTATTTTTTTTGAGACAGAGTCTTGCTCCGTCACCCAGGCTAGAGTGCAATGGCATGGTCTCGCCTCACTGCCAATCTCCACCTCCTGGGTCCAAGCAATTCTCCTCCCTCAGCCACCCGAGTAGCTGAGATTACAGGTAACTGCCACGACGCCTGGCTAATTTTTGTATTTTTAGTAGAGATGGGGTTTCACCATGTTGGCCAGGATGGTCTCAAAGTCCTGACCTAATAATCTGCCAGCCTCGACCTCCCAGAGTGCTGGGATTACAAGCGTGAGCCACACACCCGGCCTATTTACTTAAGTGTGTTGGAGGGTTATTTTCTGTGTTTTTGGTTACTTGCTGCTAAGATATTGAACTGATACTATGTGATAAAATTGTTTCTTTTTTCTTTTTTTTTGAGGCAGAGTCTCACTCTGTCGCCAGGCTGGAATGCAGTGGTTGACCCACTGCAACCTCTGCCGCCCAGGTTCAAGTGATTCTCCTGCCTCAGCCTCCTGAGTAGCTGGGACTACAGATGCACACCACCGTGCCTGGCTAAGTTTTGTATTTTTAGTAGAGATGGGGTTTTATCATCTTGGCCAGGCTGGTCTTAAACTCCTGACCTTGTGATCCACCCGCCTCAGCCTCCCAAAGTGCTGGGATTACAGGCGTGAGCCACCACACTTGGCCAAAATCATGTTTCTATATAGTTCTCATATCTATAATTTTAGATTGATTACTTTGAAACAATTTCACATTTATGGAAGAGCTGTGGCAGTGGTGACTGGACCCATGCTGTCCCTCATCCGAGTTCACCTTCTTCTTTCTCTTCTTGCAAAAAACACTGCTTCTTCATTGGAGTGTAATTCAAGTCTTCCTGAGCAGGCACTCATAATCAGATAAGCGGTTTTCTCCTCTGCATTTTGTAGGATTTCCTGATACTTCTCTTAGGACCTGTTTTTTTTCTACCCATGGGTTCAATATGGCAGATCACCCCACTCATTGTCTATTTCAACTTCCTTCTGGCACCTTCCTGGATGTAGCAATTGAAGCATTAAATGTCAGTTCCTCTGGTGGCTCTCGGGTTCCAGATGCGATTCAGTTTCCACTAATCTTGACCAAGATCTGGGGTCAGGATTTGGTTAAGTGGGAAGAGAGGCTGTGCTGTGAGAGTCGTCATTTGCTGCTGTGGATCTAGTGGGGGTGGCGTGTTTCTGGGACCAAAAGTTCCTGACCCCTGGAGGGAGTATAGCTGGTGTTGTGTGATCACGGAGCTAGTGGCGAGGACAGTGAGTTTCTGAACACAGTCTTTTTTGAACTGCGTTCGTTTGAACAGTTTTTGCTTTTGTCACAGTAGCTGTTCCCTTGCTGGGCTGGCTCTGTGGGGTTATTCTGGAAGTGACATCCCAAGACCTCGCCTGGAGCCTGTTCTTCCAGTCCCTCGATGATTTTATAAGCACTCGATTTCTTGCATTAAAATTATTTCTGCTAGAAATTGTGTTGTTCCTTTACATGCATTTAACCCATGACAGTATTATTTCCTCAAGTGGCCGTAAGTGCATCCTCAGGGATGGGAACCTGAGATGTATCTGCCTGGTTGAGTTTAAGGACAGAAGATTATTGTTGTCTTGTTATGGCTAGAATCGGATTACCATAATGTACAGTCAGCACTGGGTTACTATAGCGTAAGGTCAGCGTCGGGTTACCCTAGCACACGTCAGCGTTGGGTTACCCTAGCCCTCGGTCAGCGCCGGGTTACCCTAGCACATGGTCAGCGCCACGTTACCCTAGCGCACGGTCCGCGTCGAGTTACCCTAGCGCACGGTCAGCGCCGGGTTACCCTAGCGCAGGGTCAGCGCCGGGTTACCCTAGCGCACGGTCAGCG